GTAAAAACTGATTCACTTCCTCCTGATACAAAAATTCATATTATAAGGTGTGCCTAATATTCTTGTCAAAAAATTGGGGAAGGAGAGTAGTAAAAGCTACGGTATTATCTTTCTTTTTCTAGACCCCTAAATTAACTACTTTATTCCTCCATAAAAACATATTTTTTCTTTTTCAAAATGAGCTATTGCTACTCCTCGTTTTCCACGGTATTCCTATTATTGCACTGCACAAATATCAAAAGTCGTCGACAGAGAATTTTTCGTCTTCTGAAACCATTAACGTTGTCAAAAAAAAAAAAAAAAAAATCAGTCCATCGAGGTAAAATAAATTATAATATCCTCTCAAGCTTTCACGTGAACGAACTGAACGCTATAAATATTTACCCTAAATTATTCGAACCAGCCATAATTCCATTTTTGTTCCATTTAATTCTATTTCCAGGCGACTTCAGGGAAGGCAGGAATATTCTCACGTGGAAGTAAGCGTTAAAAATTAGATTGGAAATTAAATTGACCGTGGTCGAATGGCTTTTCTTCGGGGCGAAGGGGCGGTTTCTTTGTAATCGCGTCCTTAATTGAAATTGGCAACTCGTTTAATCCCCTTCCCTTCCCGATTCGGCGAAACGCGTTCGGCGATTAAACGCTTTCGCGTTTTGGCTGAACATCTTCGCCGCGGAGAGTTTAATGAACGGACTTTCCCTAACGCTGATAATTAGATTTAATTAATATCGACTTGGGAAATAGAGTGGCAGAGTAATTTTCGGGGTAAACTTTTGATTAGAACGATTCAAGCGTGAACGATCTGTTGTAGCTGTGCTGGTTAAGTGTTTTTAATAAATAATGTTAATGTATGGTGAAGAAAGAATGTTTTTAACTAGGAAACATAGTTCAGAATGACAGACAATTGTTTAAAAATTATTTCGTTGAATTTGGTAAATAGGTGAATTTCTTTTGTGTTATAATTGTCTAATTGTCTTACAAATATTAAGTAATGCATAAATACAATATGATAATAGAAATTCAATTTCGTTCAATTTGTAGCATTAAGAATCTAATGAAATATGATCCTTAAATTTTGTAGACTTTTTCATTTCAGAATCGTTGCTATTTTATAACCGTGCAAAGAATAAAAGGGCTCAGTATTCATTTTTGCTTTATATTTCTTCTAAATTGTAATAAATTTATTTCTAAATTTAATTTCAAAATTAAATTGTAATAAATATTTCTTTATTT